GACTCATCACAGACCTATAGGACAGGGTAAAAATGCTCCATCGGCTTTTCGAGGCTGTAAATCTTTATGGAGGCAGATTGCTTCATCTTTCTCCCATGGGGTACATAGTAGATTTTGATCTCAGTCCTTTCAGTTATTTGGCCAATGCTTTACCCACTGTGCTAACAAGGATGCTTTTACATCATTATGCAACTGCTAAATTACATCATTGCATAACTGCCAAACCAATGGGCAAGCAAAGCCCAACATATAACCTTAACCATCACAGCCTGTGTTACTCTGGCCTTACACCTCAGCAGTCATTGCTACAAGGCTTATATCATTAATTCACAAAACAGTCATTTTGTACTATTATAAATGCAAAATGTTGGATAATAGGATGATGAGATAGTGACGAGTAGGTGAACAGAAGTGAATCATTTTATTAATTCATTATAAAGTTGGATCATGCCATTTTCCTCAAAACTCTCCCCTCAATTCTTCCCATTTTAGTTTAATGAAAAGCAAAATCAATAATTCCAATACTTTCTACAACTCTGGTATAAGCTGGACTTCTCTGACCTCTTTGATCTCGTATTCCATGTTTCTACCCAGTACTTCCTCTGTACCGGCCATGACACCAGCCATGTGCCCAGGACACTCATCAGGTCTGTTCTCCCCCAGGGCCGTTTCCCTAGTTGGTTTCTTCTTTGTCGTATCTTCTTCCCAGACGATGACTAGTTCTCTCACTCCCTCCTCTTTTTAAATAAAAACTGTATTTTTACTGAGGCCCACTCTGAACAAGTAAAGATGTTACTCTTTAAAAGTTTTTATTGACAATGATTCAGGCGCCATACAATTCAGTGATGGAAATATATTAAAAAGTTGTCCAGTCATCACCCAAATCAGTCTTGGCGCACTTTCTTCATTCTTGTGCCCATTATTATTAGCTCCCCATCACTCCTTAATATTCCCTGCCATAATCCTAAGGAGCTATTAATCTAATTATTGTCTCTATGTCTTTACGTATCCTGGATTTCATATCAAGAAAATCATGCAAAAACTCCAATGATGCCAACAACATAAAAACACAGACAAATCTCAATCCAAGAGAAAGTTGAGGATAATAGAACAAATTAAAATCTGGTGCAAATTAAAAATGGGTCAAAAGGGAAAACAAAAATATGTTAAATTTTAACCTAACTACATGTGGAGTGATCCATTCTGTCTCAGGATAAAACTATTTCCCTCTCTGGTCAATGCTTAATCCAAGTAGGGGCTCTGCAAATGGATTTTGGACTTGCACTGTCATCCATAGCCTTCTGCAAACAGGGTGCTCAAAAATTAAGCTCTATACAATTCTTTCCTCTGATTTTGGACTTTTCTTATTCACAGTCATTGGATCACATGGGCTGATGCACTCCTTCTATGTGGACTAAGCTGACAACTCATTTAGATGTCTGCTTGTTTGAAGATAAGCCTTTAAGACTCCAGACACTATATTCTTTCTGAGAACCAGGCACCATTTGTTTTTTTCACCACATTTTTCTGTAGCACCCTTATTTTCAGTGATCACTTCATGAGGGCAAGTATTGAGCAGGGCCATATGAAAGAACTAATTCTTCTTAGATTTGGGTTTATGCTTAGATATGAAGTCAAATCTAGTCCTAGAAAGTTTTTATATATCCTTGGTGCACCTTAGAGGCAGCATTGTCAGCTTGTTGAAAAAAAATTTAACAACCTCCATAAGACATTTAGCAATTCTAATAATAGTATCATTAATCTAGCCAATCGTGTAGATTTTAAAGTGATACTGAGAAAAGGAAAATATACATATATAGTAAAGCTTTTTAGATGAAAATAAATGGAATGTTCACTTACCTAGGTTCGAAACTGAAGTAGCTGAACACTTTAAGAAAGCAGGGTTAGACACCATGAAAAAATTTAGTAAATCATTCACTAAAGAAAAACTATGCCTGCTGGACTGATTCCACAAAAGGCAAAGAAAGTATGAAAACAGTAAGTATATGGCAGCTTTAAGTTGCTAATTATTGGACACATCAAAAGCAAGATATTTGAACCAAAGTTCACTGACTTCCAAATCCATGACCTCTGCTGTGTCCCACACTAGGGTGTTACAGCTCTAAGTCCAAAGGAGTATTTTAGTTCCTTTAATCTGAAACAGGTATGTTTAAGGTTAACTGTTTTTCTTAGTGAGGTTTCCAAATCATATAATTTTGATGTGATCTATGAAGAACAAAGTCTACCTAACAAAGATAAAATCTAGAAGCCAGGAGCCAGAGTCACCAAGGGCTGAAAAGAAACTTGGTAAAAATGCAAGGTTAGCAACATAATACTGAGTGAATTGTCCCCTTGGGAGTCTATAAGTAACATTAAACATTTCCTCAAGAATAGGCTGCCCCTCCTTGGTTTACCAACCAACAAGATTGAAATCATCTTCTCAAGGACAGACATATCCCACCCTCTGATGGTCATGAATTCTTTAAAAAAAATAATTTTATTGGGGGCTCGTACAACTCTTATTACAATCCATGCATACATCCACTATGTTAAGCACATGTGTACATTTGTTGCCATCATCATTCTCAAAATATTTGCTTTCTGCTTGAGCCATTGGTATCAGCTCCTCATTTTTCCCATTCCCCCCTCTCTTATGAACCCTTGATATTTTATAAATTATTATTTTGTCATGTCTTACACTGTCCGACGTCTCCCTCCCTTCAACCGCTTTTCTGTTGTCCGTCCCCCAGAGAGGAGGCTATATGTAGGTGCTTATAATCGGTTCCCCTTTTCTACCCCACTTTCCCTCCACCCTCTGGTATCGCCACGCTCACCACTGGTCCTGAAGGGATCCTCCACCCTGGATTCCCTGTGTTTCCAGTTCCTATCTGTACCAGTGTACATCCTCTGGTCTAGCCTATTTGTAAGGTAGAATTGGGATCATGATAGTGGGGGTTGGGGGAGGAAGCATTTAGGAACTAGAGGAAAGTTGTATGTTTCATCGTTGCGACACTGCACCCTGACTGGCTAATCTCCTCCCCACGACCCTTCTGTAAGGGGATGTAAGGGGATGCCTGGGGCCTTTCTTACTGAGGGAGGTGGATGGCCACTGCCTTCCTTGCTGGGATGCAGGGACAGCTAGTTCCTCCATTGCTGTGATAGCCAGTTCCTTCCCTGTTGGGGAGTGGGAGCAGTTGGGGTCTTCCTTGACTTAAGGCAGGAACAGCCAAGGACTTCGTTGTCGGGTTGCAGGGGCAGTTGGGGCCTACCTTGCCAGGTTCTGGGGCCAGCTGGCACTTTCCAAATGGTGTCTCAGGAATACCCAGGCCCTGTCTTTCCACCATGTTGGGGCATCTGGAGCTTTCCTTACTGGGTTGCTAGGATAGGTGGGGCCTTCTCCCCTGGGGGCCAGGGACAACCAGGGCCTCTTTTGGCTGGGGTGGGGCCAGTTAGGGCCTTCCTTCTCAGGTTGCAGGGGTGCTGGCGCCTACCTTGCCAGGTCATTTTGTTTAAAATAGAAATTCTCCCCCCAAATCCCTGATTCCCCTTTCCCATATTTTTCTTACCAGGTCTTACCACCTACTCACACACTTTAACTTATTTTCTGTCATTGCCCTCCTCTACTTAAGTGCCCTGTATAATTAACTCACTCAAAGTTAAGTAACAAAACTTTTTTTTTTATTGTGGCATTTTTGGATGACATGTATAGATCATCTTAGGTAATATGCACCACTTATTTGGCAAGGCTCCGTAAAAGCAAAGGCAAAGGCTCAATTAGAGAGGAAAAGTGTTCATAAATGAGACCTTGAAGCAGTAGGTCCATCTCAAGTCAGCGAAAGAAGACGTGTGCAAAAAGACCAGGCTACGCAGCGGTTTCACTGGGGCCTCCCTCCCCTGCATTGTCAGTAAAAGCAGACAGTATGCAGGAAAGCCTGCCGGTACTTCTTTTCAAATTCCCGCAGCACCTTTTCGATCTCGTTCTCCATGTCTTCAGTCTGCTGGAGACTCTCGCACAGCTCACAAATGAGGAACGCCCCCAGGGTAGCGTCGTCCAGGGTGTCCTGGATGTTCACGTTGACCACATGAACTGGCTGATAGGTCTCCTGCTCCCGGGAATTAAGATCTACCAATACTTGGTCGTAGATTCTCTCTTCACAGGTGATGATGAGATCAAACACATCTTTGGATTCCTGGAACCTTTCTGGTCGGGGCTTTATTCGTTTATTTCTGTCCAACATGAGTAAGATGCCGGACTGCCCGTAGAGTTCTTTGTCCTTTATGCAAAGGTCATTGAACATTTCAGCATACGTGGTTCTGAAATCATAGACGTTTGGCTTATTTGGAGTGGGCCCGGGGAGCTTTACGTGGGAACCTGTCCCGAAGGATCGCACGTTGAATCCTCGTTTTTTGAGGATGTTGTGTGCCTCCATGCTACGGTTCTGGTTACTCGAGCACACCACTGCCACTCGCAAGGGCAAAGTTGGCATTATAGCTGCAAAAACAGTACCTTCAGCAAAAACAGTACCTTCGACAGTGGCAGCGGGGGCGGCGGCGGCGGCGGCGGCAGCGGGGGCGGCGGCGGCAGCGGCGGCAGGGACGGAGACAGCTACAGCGGCTTCCCAGCTTCCAACTCGCGGCAAATGCTCATGGTCAAAATGGCTGTGGCCGGAAGTTGATAATGCGGAAATGCCTGCAAAGACGTCATATAATGTAACAATTCGTTGGAATACAGTGTGGGCGTTCTCGTTCTGGGCCTCGGGCCAGTAAGAGTAACCAGTTAAGTATCTCTTCTGAGTAGCTGTTAATTTCGGATCTCTTGGCCTCAAAAAGCTAAGCCTTTAAAGACTTCCAGCTCTCTTCTATACGGTCTTCTCTGGCCTGTGGGCCTGTTGAGGGGGCAGCTGCAGAGGCAATGGGATAGGCAGCTGTCTAAGACCACCAACTGCTTTGACCCTCTACACTGCCAGTTGCCTGAGTTTCAGAGCAGCCAGATGTGCCTCTAGCCCAACTGTGGGGTCCAAGGTTTGAAGATGGGAGGTTCTTGGAAAAAAAGAGTACAGCAGTACTGGAAGTCCAGCCGTTTCAAGGGTCAGTGGCCACCTCCAAGTCCTCCTCCTTGCATAATGCTAATTTTGTACAATGACCAGGTTTTTAGAATCTAACCTTGTCAATAAGTAAAGTGGATGCTTTCTTCCTCCACCCACCCCACCCATAGCCTTCAATAAAAAATTGCTGTGTTGAAAATCAGTAATACACGATCCTTGCCTTGTGAATCCTGGTGTCAAAATGGTTATGCATTGGGCTGCTAACCACACGGTCAGCAGTTCCAAACCACCAGCCGTTCCCCAGGAGAAAGATGAGGCTTTCTACTCTCATAAAGAGTTAATCTTGCAAACCCACAGGAGCAGTTCTAATCTGCCCTATAGAGTTACTGTGAATCAGAATCAGCTCAATGGCATTGAGTTCGGTTGGTTTTGTTTGCTTGCTTCTTTGCTTATAAAGAAATACAATGAAACAAAAATACCTTTAATTTAGCTGTGTACCAGGCTGCGGGAGCCTGCAGGGAGCTGCGTGGTGGTCAAATTGCACAGGCAGAAGTGGTCCCTAGCTCCAGCCGTGCAGGGTGCCCATGCGGGGGGGTGGGGGGGTGGCTTGATCCGGTGGCATGGTAAAGGGTGGACAGAGGGCCAACTGGGAGCTTCTAGGAGGTGGGCCCATGGAGCCTCGGTCCACCTCCACCAACCCTGACAACGCAGATGACCTCGGTGGCCACCCTGGCCCTGGGCGACTAGAGGGAATGCAAAAGCGGCAGTGTGTCTCCTGTGAGGGCGCCGCCAAGCTCTGGCTGCACCACTTTGAAGACTAGGGCCTGTTGCCCCCTGTGGAGCAGTTCACTTTGAAGTCAGGGCTTCAGCAGACTTGCACAGACTTGACTGTAATTATAGCATTTGCAAGAAGCAACAGAATAGCCATTTCATTGTTCTAGCTTATCACCAGTCCAGCTCCTGAAGGGAGCTGAGAGCATGACCGCACAGTCAACACACACAAAGCCCAACCCCTCTTCTGGGAGAACTGGGGTGTTCAGCGTTTTTACACACCCTGCTCAAACCCTGGAGACGATGGAGTTGCTCCCCATTGCCTCAGTGAGGGGACTGTGTGGAGTGTGGTCATCAAGGAGTTCAACAGCAGCGACTGGGAGAAAGCGTTTGAAGGAGCACAAAACCATCAAGGACATGTCTTAAAAAGTGAACTTCTGCGTCTCACTTCCTGAAAAGGAGGAATGATTGGGGCTGGCGACCTTGCTGTCCGTGCTGCACCCCAGTGGTGCTCATGCATGTGGCTGACCTCGACTGTGGCTCTTTTGGCCAGCAGCCATCTCAATCTCTACCATTGGCTCTGGTTCTCAGTTTCTTTTGGCAGCTCTTTGTCCTTCCTCAGCGCAAAGGTTGATGTAGGGTCGTTGATATCCTTCTGGATCTTTTCAAATTTTATGTGATTTTTTAGAAAAAAAATTTAAACATGAGAATAGTGATTTCATAAATCGTTAAAGGTACACTCCTGAGCATATAGTTCAATGGTCAGGTTCCAAAGCAAGTTTTTGAGAATTTTCTTGTGAATGTACTCCGTAGAATCATCTAAAAAGTATTCCAACTGGTTAGCTTTCTAGTGGGCCCACTGGTGTATCTTTCTATACTGTACTAGCAACACTCTCCTGGGGTTTTCTATGAGAACAGTTCAGGAGCTGACAGCTCTACATTCTCAAAGTACTATCCATAGGTAGACTAATGATGATGGAAATAGTCATAACATGACTTCAGCTGCATACATTTTGAAAAGTCATTGTCATGTTCTGTGATAGTATAAATATTGAATATATGTTTATTTGAGAAGGAGCCCTGATGGCAATGGCATGGTAATTACGCATGGGGTTTCTAAGGACAAGGTCAGCAGTTCGAAATCACCCAGCTCTGTGAGAGAAAGACAGGCTGTCTATTTCAGTAAAGAGATACAGCCTCAGAAACGCACAGGGGCAGTTCTACTCTGTCCTATAGGGTCTCTGTGAGTCAGAATGGACTCAATGGCAGTGAGTTGTGTTGAGATAAGATAAACCAAAAATTGTGAGCATCAATTTGTGAAGAGATGAACTATTACTATGTCATATCATGTGCCCCCTTTCCATGTCTTCTTCTCCCACTAAGCCTATCTAGGTCTGTTAATAAGAACAGCTGGGATAAGAAGCTAAAGCACTCTTCTGAACTGAAGAGAACAAAAGTATTCATTTCTCCTCAGATTCCCTGAAAAGGTCTTCAAAATATAGATATAATTCAGAACCTAAATTTCATAAATTGACTTTGGCCAAAGCAATTTATCCAGATACACTATCCTTCTGCTCCTGTAACGTTTAGATTTGAAAAGAATTAATGTGATGTAAGTGTACTAAGTCTTAGGAAATCTATCATTTTTTAATCTTCTCTAGGAACAGGTTTATGAAAATAAATTTTGAGGTAATGGTTTCAACCCAAATAAAATGATTCTATTTAAAGACTGCCCAGCAATTTCATGTTTGCTTCTTTTAAGTTCATTGGCAGGTAAAGACAGTGAATCACTCTACCTCTGGTATAATGACATTATTAGGAAGGTGTCATCCCAGTGGTCACAAAACCTCATTGATGCAGAAATCAAAATATGAAATAAAATTATGAAAACTCCTGCAGCTTTATATATCAAGGCACATTCTATAATTATGCCAAGATCTAGATTTGTTTCAACTCTTTTTCTGTTCTCTGGCTCTGCCAACTAAATGGATGAGGGTTTCAGAGCCTCTCCTAAGGGACAGAGATGATACTCTTCCATTCTTGTATAAGTAGGCTAGTGTTATATTTCTCTAAACCTCCATATTGTGCACAAAATAAATGTAGCTGATTAGAGTCAGACCTTAAGTGCATGGTACCCGACCACAGAAATAACGTGTATGTGATTGTTTTTGTTGTGCTTATTTTAAAGAAGAAGAGCAAGCAATCCTTAGGTAACAGTTTTTTTGTAATAGATCTAAACACTCTACATGAGAATGTTTTATTTAATTCTTGAACTAACACTATGAAGTGGAGGTATTGATGATATTCTTATCTTATAAAGATGAGACAAGGGATACAGTTAGTGAATGCTGGAGCTGCAAATGTAGCACAGGCAGTCTAGTTACCGATCCCAAACCAGGTACACTTACTCCCCAGTTATTGGTTACCTTGGTATCTAACATTTCACATTTGTGACAATAGTAATACACCTAACCAAACTATTTTGTGCCTTCATGATGTATGTCTGGCAGTAATGAATACAGAGGTATGAGATGAGAGTCATACTAGCTGTGGTGGTTAAGGTCATGTGTCAAGTGGGCCATGATTCTCAGTGATTTGACAGTTGCATAATGATGCAATTTGGTAGTTATACAAGGATGTAATTTGGCAACACATTTTTATTTACCCTACTATATATGTATATTAAAAAAATAATTGCGGTTATCGCTTGGTGATTATGTTAGGGAAGGTTTTAATTAGATTTTTCTATAAAACAATGACTTTTCTAACTCGTATAAAATAAATATTTATTATTAAATGGGTTCAGAGCATTTAACTCCCCACCCCAAACCCCTCTAGGCAGGAGGAAGTCAAGAGGAGAAGAGGAAAAAGACATACTACTTGGTAAAAACTGTGACTAAGAGAAAGGAACTGCTTAGAACCCTAGCAAACATTGGTTTACATGTGCTTATTTACTAATCTGTAGTGAACAATTTCATATTTTTTCACCACAGCAAAGATTCTACTTCTAGGTATTGTATACCTGGCCTCTACCTCTCCCCCAGCCCTCTCAGCACCTTCCTATAGAATGGAAGCGTGGAAGCCCCCTTTTTCCCTTCAAATTTACAATCTCCGACAGGGTTGGAGTACCCAGTAAACAAGTCAAGCATGGGCTTACTTGTATTACTTGCTAATCTTCAGTGAAACCTGCATGAAATTGTTCACTACAAATCATTTAAGTATGCACAAGTGGGTTCATGGTTACTGTGCCAGGTATGCTGGTTCTCAGATGTATTTATTTCCACACTCATCCTTTTTGACAGACCTTTGAAAATGAATCTGAACCTTTAAGTTTTCTTCTCCAACTATCACAATATGAAGATTTGTCAGAAGGTACTAGAAAGACATCTGCAGGAAAAAACCATTGCTTCCTAGTCCTCACTCAACAGGTTCCCGCAGGGCGAGTAGATTACCCAGTGTTGAACGCCTACAGTATAGTGCTTGTGGCCAATAGCTTCCCCTGCCGATCACCTCAGGTGGTTTTGTAGTGGAGTACCTCTGGTGAGATACTGCTCATGAAACCTTATGAGAGCAGATTCCCAGAAAATTCTAGAAGGTAGATTTCCAGCAAGCTCTGCTCTATAATCCAGATGCAAATGTCACCGCTCTTATTTCCTGAGTTAGAGGAAGTG